GGCGCGGCGCTTCTCTGAAGCTTATCAGCAACTTCTTAAAGCTCGGAGCTGCTTCGTAGAAAGAGAAACAACTTCTTATAAGCAAGCCACCCGCTCCTAATCAAGGGGCCCAAGGACACACATATAAATACACACAAATAAAACGATTCCCCAGATTTTCCCATATTTTCTGGGTTTCTGTCTTCCCGCCCAATTCCCATATTTTCCCATATTTTCCTGGGGATCGACGATTAATTGTGTCTGTGTGTTTTTTCCCTCCTGATCTAAGAAGCACGCCAGGAACAGCCTCCGAGAAGCAGCCACGCGCTTCTTGGTTCGAAAGGGCGCCCGCGCCTTCTAAGAAAGGGGGGGGTGCTTCTCAGAAGCCCTCCCCCTCCCTCCCTCCCTCCTCCTCCTCCTCCTCCTCCTCCTCCCCATCCTCCTCCTCCTCCTCCTCCTCCTCCTCCTCCTCCTCCTCCTCCTCAGCCCCCTTCTGCGCGTGGCCGAAAGCTGACGCATTCGACCCCAGTGCTTCTCCGCGATCTCGGCCTCTGGGGGCCCTGCTTCGGGCCCCCATGGCCCTCCGGCGGTGCGCGCCGTCCCTGCGGGGCCGATGCGCACGTGAGCGGCGAGAAAGAAACGGGCCTCACGCCAGAAGGCATAGCGACCTGACGCGGTGACTTGCGCGGGCCACCAGCGCGTCAAGCCACAGTGGAGACGAGGGCGCTCGGGCGCGACCTTACGAGGGCAGCTTACGCGCCAGTGTCGGTGAAGACGGCCCCGTGCCTTTTCGTCGCTCGCATGGTGTCAGTATGTGGTGGCGATGCTGAAGGAAGGTCCTCGTGGTGGTGTGGTACAGTCGGACCTGGGCAAGAAAGACATCCCTCAAGAGCATGAGTCCCGCCGCCGGCCAAAACACACCAAGCCTCAGGATCACTCGAGGGGGCACTCCCCCGAGATGCACAAGAGCATCCCACCGGCACGAAAAACATTAGGGCACCCTCCCCGAACTGACTTCGATCTTAGACCTCGGTCCGAATGTACCGCTGTATCGGCGTCCCGCTTGAGGCATCTCTCTCCCACCTCCACCCGAGGGTGGCATCGTACACCACCTCGCCGGGGATGGCCCCGCCAGTCGTACTGGCGCTCCCCCCCCCTCCCTCCTCCGAGATGGAGGGCCCGAACCAGGCTCCTCGTGGAGGCAGATAGGAGGCGAGTCATCGGAGGCCTCAGACGCAGCGCTCAATATCCCCCCCAAGATAGAGACAACAAAACAAAAACCTGGCGAAGGACCCAACCATATGCAGTTGTGAATACCGCAGTTGTGGGTATCGCCTTCAGTGGAGCTCCCTATGCGCGACGAAACGCTGTACTGGGTGGGGGAGACGCATGCGAACTTTGCCACTGGGGCCTTAGGTGGAGCTCCCTGTGGGGCCACGCAACGCTGTGTTGGATGGGGGGGGGGGCGCATGCGGACACCGCCAATGGGGCCTTACGTGGAGCTCCTACGAGACCACGAAACGCCGTGCTGGGTGGGGGGACGCATGTGAACACCTCTACTGGGGCCGTCGGTGGAGCTCCCTGTGGGACCACGAAACGCTGTGCTGGGGGGGGAGGACGCATGTGGACACCGCCACTGGGACCTTGGGTGGAGCTCCTTATGGGGCCACGAAACGCTGTACTGGGTGGGGGGACGCATGAGGACACCGCAACTGGGGCCTCAGGTGGAGTTCCCTATGGGGCCACGAACTCATGTGGACACCGCCACTGGGGATTTCGGTGGAGCTCCCTGTGTGACCACGAAACGCTGTACTGGGCGGGGTGAGACGAATGTGGACAACGCCACTGGGGCCTCGGAAGGGGCTCCCTATAGGGCCACGAAGCGCTCTGCTGGGCGGGGGGAGACAAATGTGGACAACGCCACTGGGGCCATAGGTGGAGCTCCCTATGGGGCCACGAAGCGCTGTGCTGGGCGGGGAAGACGCATGTGGACAACGCCACTGGGGCCTTAGGTGGAGCTCCCTATGGGGCCACGAAACGCTGTGCTGGGCGGGGGGGGGCGCATGGCATGTGGACACCAGCACAGGGGCTTTAGGTGGAGCTCCCTATGGAGCCACGAAGCGCTGCACTGAGCGGGGGGGGCGCATGTGGACACCGCCACTGGGGCCTTAGGTGGAGCTTCTTATGACGCCACGAAATACGCTGCGCTGGGTGGGGGGGGCGCGTGTGAACACCGCCACTGGGGCCTTCGGTGAAGCTCTCTATGGGGCCAGGAAAAGCGGAAAAGCTGTGCTTGGTTGGGGGAGACGCATGTGGGCACCGCCACTGGGGCCTTAGGTGGAGTTCCCGAGCTCCCGATGGAGCCACGAAGCGCTGTGCTGTGTGTGTGGGGGGAACGCATGTGGACACCGCCACTGGGGCCTTAGGTGGAGCTCCCTATGGAGGCACGAAGCGCTGAGCCGTGCTGGGTATACCGGAACGCGTGGCGACGATAGTGATGATGATGCTGATGATGATGATGCTGCTGATGATGATGATGATGCTGATGCTGATGCTGATGCTGATGCTGATTATGATGATGATGATGATGATGATGATGATGGTGATGATGATGATGATGATGATGATGATGATGATGCTGATGAAGATGATGATGATGATGATGATGATGATGATGATGATGATGATGATGGTGGTGGTGGTGGTGATGATGATGGTGATGATGATGATGATGATGATGATGATGGAGGGAGACGGCGGAGGGTGATGATGGGAGGGGAGAGGAGGGGGAGGAGGAAGGAAGGAAGGAAGGAAGAACGCGGGGCGCTGTCTCTTCAAAACGAAGACCCAACACCACAAGATCTTCACCGTGCGGTGTCCAGGGGGCCGCTTCCTGCCCCAAGATCGTCAACGAAACGATGCGGGATGTAGAAAAGATGCGGCGCGATTCTCCAGTCCTGTCTGGGCGGCCCTGCATTGCCCACCGCTCCGAAATCTGCATGCACCCTTTCTGTTTCACCAGGGCCGCCTCGCACGAACTGAACTCGAGACCCGCCTGCAGGGGAGGTACCGTCAAGGACGCTCTCCGAAATCCATGCCGCACGAATGCGGCAGCAGATGGACACAACGCCGACGCCGGCGTGTGCAACGTGATGGGTCCACGCGGTGAAACTCCGAAGGGCTCCCAACTTCGCGCTTCGCGCCGCGCGAAGCGCGAAGCGCGAACGACTGCGCCCGCGCCGCCTCCCGAGGGAGCGAGCGAGCGAGCGAGCGAGCGAAACGCCCTATGGGGCCGCGAAGCGTGTGAGAGGTGTGCCGGCATGAGTGTGGGGGACGCGTGCTGGCGGTGGCACGGAGGCCTTCGGTGGAGCTCCCTATGGGGCCACGAAGCGCTGTACTTCTCGAGCGCGAAAGATACCCGTACCCTTACCCAGACGGGGTGGCAAGGGGCCCTCGGGGCATCACCCCCCCTTGGGTCCGGGTCGGCTCCCGAAACCACCATACATACCCGTACCTAGACGGGGTGACCCAACCACCACCCCAGCTAGGTCCGGGTATGTATGGTTGTTTCGGGCACCGACCCGTACCCAGACGAGGTGGCGGCAAGGCCGAAAACGCTCCAGCGGGCGGCCCTTTTCACCCCAGCTGACCCCGGGTCCGGGTATGTTTTGGGCTAGTGAGTACTGGGTGGGTGAAACGCAGGGAGGAGGGACGAGGGGGAGAAGGAAGGAGAACGCGGGGACCGTCTCTTCAAAACGAAGACCCACCACCACAGGTTAGTAGTTGGGAAGTACTCCAAGATATACAAACATAGTCGAAGCATCGTCCCCTGATTACTATTTTTGTACTAGTTTTGAATCTTCTTCCCGTAGAGGGACAGTCCCCTGTGACGATTGTCGAGCTGGTCAGGAGGAGTCCACGAGCTTGTTCATCTTCGTGATCATGGCGCTGCACGTGCGTGCCCCCAGGGGGGGCGGGGACGGATCGAAATAAGAAGAGTCGCCATGAAATCTGGGGAGACACCATGGCCCCGGCCATGACACCCGTCCCCCACCCCAGGACACCACCCCCCTATTGGCCGACCTCTGTTCCCCCCTCCCCCCCCGTAGCGGCCGTGGATCGCCCGGGGAACCCACTCCGCGGGAGGTCGGGCTCCTCCCTGGCAACGGGAGGAGTGGCAAGGAGGTGAGGAGAAGGAGAAAGGGGGTGAGGTGAGGAGTGGCAAGGAGGTGAGGAGGTGAGGAGAAGGAGAAAGGAGGTGAGGAGTGGCAAGGAGGTGAGGTGAGGTGAGGACATCGGGGCACTAACAACAACATAAACATAAAAACTCAGAGGTCCGCGCGGGTTTCTCGAATCGGCGCTGGGGCCCCCTGGCGGCGCCTCCGGCGCCGCCCCTGGCGCGCTCCGCGCGCCAGGGAGGGTAGTCCAGCGCGGGCCCAAGAAAACCGCGCGGCCCTCGGACGTTGCACGCTCATGTCATCGCTTGTTCCCCCCCAGGACGGGCGGAGCGGGCGCACCGGGAGCCCCCCCCCCCCTCGTCTCTGCCGATGTCTCTCCGAGCCGGGGCCGCGATGGGCAAAACAGGGCTATAGGATCGGGATAAATCGCTCCAGAGCGTTCAGGAGCGCTCTCAGAGCGTTCTGGAACGCTCTGGAGCGGCCGCGGCGCCCAATACATCCTCCGAACCCGCCGATTCTCAGAGATTTCGAGTTATCCCGATCCGATGTTGTCCCGATTGTTCGCGTCGTTCTATCCCCGCCCGCGGCCTGTGCCGAGGTCTCTCCGAGCCCGGGCCGACTCTCCCCGCGATTTTGAAGGGAAACTGGGACACACAAATAAATACACACAAGTAAAAAGATTCCCCATATTTTCCTATATTTTCTGGGTTTTTGTCTTCCCCACCACTTCCCATATTTTCCCATATTTTCTGGGAAATCGACGATTAATTGTGTCTGTGTTTTCTTTTCCCTCCTGAGATTTGGGGGGGGGGGCATCCCCGCGCCGGCGGGCGGCCGATCATCCTCGGCCGGCCGCCCGAGCGCGTCGGTGGCGGGCTGGTCGACGCGGGGCACGGGCACCTCGGGGCGCCGCGGGGGGGCGCCTGCGGGAGGGCCCACGCACGGAGAGGCGGTGCGGGGCGCAGCGGGGCCGCCTCGACGGAGGCCTCCCAGGGGCGGAGGCTCGCGCCACGCCGCCGAGGCAGCGGCGGCGCGTCGGCGACGTCGGCGCGGAGCAAGTCGAGCTCCACGTCGAGCCGCATCGCCGGTGCAGCAGCGATGCGGCGCGAGCTTCCGAGCCCATCTACTCGGACCCCATCTGGGAGGCTCAGACTCGAGTCGTGGGGACCTGGACACGTAACGCCGTGACAACCTCGCGTTGTGATGCGAGGCAAAAACACGACAAAAAGACGAATCGGGCAATCGTTGGCCCCTACAGGCCCTTACCGGCCCCATCTGCTCGGCTCCGATCTGGGCGGCCCTCCCTCTCCAAGGCCTACGGGGGGGCCCGGGACACCGAAGCCCCCTGGAGGAGGCGGCGGTCGTTGTCGGCACCGACGTCCTCGCCGTCGTCTCGAAGGGTGTTGGGCGGTGCCTGGCAAGTTCCCGCGGCCACGGCGGAGCACCACGCGGAACACTTCTGGCCGGGATGGACTACGGGATGGGTCTGGGGAGGGGCAGTCGTCGTCGCCATCGGCCTCCCGCCCAGTCCTGCCCAGACCTCTCATTGCACCGGCCATGCAGACGTGCTGCAGCGGATCTCTGCGTGGATTGCAGCGTGGATCTTTGCCCGCAGCGGCGAGCGAAAAACGAAGTGGATGTCCAAAAATACCCGCGCGAAATTCACCTCGAAATCTGGAGCGAAATTCTCCAGGACACCCTGGGCCCCTCCCATTGTTCTCCAAACAAGATCCGTTCTGCCATGCTGGCGCCAGGAGAACAGGCCTGGGGAGGGGCAGTCGTCGCCATCGGCCTCCCGCCCAATCCTGCCCAGACCGCTGGGGTCGTGATTCTTCCAGTGCGTGGCCCACGCATACACCCTGCGAAATGCTTAAGAAATCATGGGTTAAGAAATTCATAGTCTCAGAAATGGACTAAAACCCAGAACTTCTATCAACATCTTGGGATTTACATTGAAAAGTTAAGAATAATCGAGACTCTGGCCGAAAACTTAGGTTTTCTTAAGCATCGCCTAAGGTGTAGTCCGGCTCCTTCCCCGAAGCAGTGTTCGTTCTCGTCCTGGGTCGTTGTTCGACGGCCCCAGGGCCCAGAAATGGCCCCTGGCGACGCCGAGAATGCAAGAACAACCTGCACATTATGTTTTTGTTCCCAACCATCCTGTGGTGTTGGGTCCTCGTTTTGAAGAGACAGCGCCCCGCGTCCCACCTCCTCTCCTCCTCTCTCCTCTCCTCTGCCGTCCGCATGCGTCCCGCACACCCATTTCGGCACACCCCTCACACGTTTCGTGGCCCCACAGGGAGCTCCACCGAAGGCCCCAGTGCTGCCGTCCGCATGCGTCCCGCACACCCATTTCGGCACACCCCTCACACGTTTCGTGGCCCCATAGGGAGCTCCACCGAAGGCCCCAGTGCTGCCGTCCGCATGCGTCCCGCACACCCATTTCGGCACACCCCTCACACGTTTCGTGGCCCCACAGGGAGCTCCACCGAAGGCCCCAGTGCTGCCGTCCGCATGCGTCCCGCACACCCATTTCGGCACACCCCTCACACGTTTCGTGGCCCCACAGGGAGCTCCACCGCATGCGTCCCGCACACCCATTTCGGCACACCCCTCACACGTTTCGTGGCCCCACAGGGAGCTCCACCGAAGGCCCCAGTGCTGCCGTCCGCATGCGTCCCGCACACCCATTTCGGCACACCCCTCACACGCTTTCGTGGCCACCCCTCACACGGGAGCTCCACCGAAGGCCCCATGGCTGCCGTCCGCATGCGTCCCGCACACCCATTTCGGCACACCCCTCACACGTTTCGTGGCCCCACAGGGAGCTCCACCGAAGGCCCCAGTGCTGCCGTCCGCATGCGTCCCGCACACCCATTTCGGCACACCCCTCACACGTTTCGTGGCCCCATAGGGAGCTCCACCGAAGGCCCCATGGCTGCCGTCCGCATGCGTCCCGCACACCCATTTCGGCACACCCCTCACACGTTTCGTGGCCCCACAGGGAGCTCCACCGAAGGCCCCAGTGCTGCCGTCCGCATGCGTCCCGCACACCCATTTCGGCACACCCCTCACACGTTTCGTGGCCCCACAGGGAGCTCCACCGAAGGCCCCAGTGGCTGCCGTCCGCATGCGTCCCGCACACCCATTTCGGCACACCCCTCACACGTTTCGTGGCCCCACAGGGAGCTCCACCGAAGGCCCCAGTGCTGCCGTCCGCATGCGTCCCGCACACCCATTTCGGCACACCCCTCACACGTTTCGTGGCCCCATAGGGAGCTCCACCGAAGGCCCCATGGCTGCCGTCCGCATGCGTCCCGCACACCCATTTCGGCACACCCCTCACACGTTTCGTGGCCCCACAGGGAGCTCCACCGAAGGCCCCAGTGCTGCCGTCCGCATGCGTCCCGCACACCCATTTCGGCACACCCCTCACACGTTTCGTGGCCCCATAGGGAGCTCCACCGAAGGCCCCATGGCTGCCGTCCGCATGCGTCCCGCACACCCATTTCGGCACACCCCTCACACGTTTCGTGGCCCCACAGGGAGCTCCACCGAAGGCCCCAGTGCTGCCGTCCGCATGCGTCCCGCACACCCATTTCGGCACACCCCTCACACGTTTCGTGGCCCCATAGGGAGCTCCACCGAAGGCCCCATGGCTGCCGTCCGCATGCGTCCCGCACACCCATTTCGGCACACCCCTCACACCCCTCACACGTTTCGTGGCCCCAAGGGAGCTCCACCGAAGGCCCCATGGCTGCCGTCCGCATGCGTCCCGCACACCCATTTCGGCACACCCCTCACACGTTTCGTGGCCCCATAGGGAGCTCCACCGAAGGCCCCATGGCTGCCGTCCGCATGCGCATTTCGGCACACCCCTCACACGTTTCGCCCCATGCTCCACCGAAGTCGTCCGCATGCGTCCCGCCCATTTCGGCACACCCCTCACACGTTTCGTGGCCCCACAGGGAGCTCCACCGAAGGCCCCAGTGCTGCCGTCCGCATGCGTCCCGCACACCCATTTCGGCACACCCCTCACACGTTTCGTGGCCCCACAGGGAGCTCCACCGAAGGCCCCAGTGCTGCCGTCCGCATGCGTCCCGCACACCCATTTCGGCACACCCCTCACACGTTTCGTGGCCCCATAGGGAGCTCCACCGAAGGCCCCATGGCTGCCGTCCGCATGCGTCCCGCACACCCATTTCGGCACACCCCTCACACGTTTCGTGGCCCCACAGGGAGCTCCACCGAAGGCCCCAGTGCTGCCGTCCGCATGCGTCCCGGTCGGCACACCCCTCACACGTTTCGTGGCCCCATAGGGAGCTCCACCGAAGGCCCCATCCGCATGCGTCCCGCACACCCATTTCGGCACACCCCTCACACGTTTCGTGGCCCCACAGGGAGCTCCACCGAAGGCCCCATGGCTGCCGTCCGCATGCGTCCCGCACACCCATTTCGGCACACCCCTCACACGTTTCGTGGCCCCATAGGGAGCTCCACCGAAGGCCCCATGGCTGCCGTCCGCATGCGTCCCGCACACCCATTTCGGCACACCCCTCACACGTTTCGTGGCCCCACAGGGAGCTCCACCGAAGGCCCCAGTGCTGCCGTCCGCATGCGTCCCGCACACCCATTTCGGCACACCCCTCACACGTTTCGTGGCCCCATAGGGAGCTCCACCGAAGGCCCCATGGCTGCCGTCCGCATGCGTCCCGCACACCCATTTCGGCACACCCCTCACACGTTTCGTGGCCCCACAGGGAGCTCCACCGAAGGCCCCAGTGCTGCCGTCCGCATGCGTCCCGCACACCAGGTGTGTGGCGTGCCGACATGGGCGTCGCGGCGCGCGGGCGCTGCCGTCGGGGTTCCCAGGGAAGCCCCCTGCAGAGGCGACGCTCAGAGTCACGAGTACCGAGAGTCACGCAGACCCAAACTGTTCACAGTCGTATACATACATTTACACTGGGCGTATCCATGCACGCATTCATGCGAATAGAATCAATCGCGCGCAGATTCATTCATAATCAGACTCGCTCGCGATCCGACTCGCACGCGCTCAAGCTTTCATATTCGGACCTATCGTCTTCGTTCGTGTTGTGTACACTGCCACGCATTTCGGCACACCCCTCATACGGCTCGTGGCCCCATAGGGAGCGCCACCGAAGAAGATATTCACAATTGCGGTACTCTCAACTGCATATGGTTGGGTCCTTCGCCAGGCTAATTTTCAAGATGTTGGTAGCTATAGGAGGACATGGAGGAGGATGATGGACGAGGGGCGATTCGAAGAAATACCACCGTCCTGTTTCTCTAAAACGTTGTCATCGGCCTTGCCCCTTCCCCCATCGCCTGATCGTGGCCGTCCTCCTCCTCCTTCTCCTTCTCCTCCTTCTGCCATCTCCCCCTCTGTGCTCTCCACAGTATCATTCGTCCCAAACCTTCCCGTGGAAAGTCATAACCAAAGCGTGTTCGCAGTGTGCAGCCTCCGAGAGACGTTCCGGGGCCCCAGGACCGTCGAACATAAGGGTCGCAGGCAGCAGAGATGGACCCAATAAGGGATCCGAGAGCACCAGGAATTATGCGTGGGGAAACGCATTTCTGGGGCCATCGGTCTCTCCATCTTTTTCCTTGCTTTGACAAGTAGCGACTGTGAAACGACTTGGGAAACTACACTGCGCAACGCCGCTTAACAGCGCTCAATGAAAAAGCGCGGTGTTACGCAGATCTGTTGCTCAGGCGAGCTGTGAAGTAGAAGTTTCAAGGAGCTCCCCTCCCCCCACCCTGCCTGTCGCCCCTCTCCTCCTCCTGCTGCTCCCTGCTTCAGCCACCCCGCAAACGGCTTCCAAGATGGGGTCCGAATAGATGGGGTCGGAGGGTTGCACCGAATCGCCGAGGCATCGCCGACGCGGCGATGCATCGATACCGTCGGCGTGGAGCAATCGGGCTCCACATCGAGCCGCATCGCCGATGTATCGGCGATGCGGCGCGATCCTCTGGCACCATCTTCTCGGACACTACCTCGGGGCTCGGGCTAAACAGTGATGTTCGTTTTCGTTTTGTCATCGTTTTGCTTCGTTCTGTTTTCGTTCTGCTTCAGCTGCGAGACGAAGTCAGAAACGAAAACGGTTCACGAAACCGCCGAACACACAGTTTAGCTCGAGCCCTGCCCCATCTGGGGGAGGCCGTGAAACTGCTCCGACCTGACCAGGTCGCGAGACTGCTCCGACCTGGCCAGGTCGCGAAACTGCTCCGACCTGGCCAGGTCGCGAAACTGCTCCGACCTGAGCAGGTCGTTGAACTGCTCAGACCTGAGCAAGTCGCGGAACTGCTCATACCTGAGCAGGTCGCGGAACGCCTAGATCCAGAAAGCCCGGGAGACGCAAGTGAAACACGGGCCCCTCGAGCGAGGCAGCTCAGCAAGCAAGAGGGGCAGGCAGGCTCGCACGGCCCTCTATGGTGTCTCTCTGGCCCGCGGGCGGGGTGGGGGGCCTCAGCCAGACGGGGCAGCCACGCCTCAGGCCGGGCATGTCCCCCTACCGGTGGATTTCGGAGGGGAACTGAAAAATAGCCAAACATATTCCCAAATGGGAGTACAAATATCTTACAATACATATATATATATATACATGTATAAATATATACATATATAAATAGAAAGATCGTCCCCTGACCATTTGTTTGACAATTTTAAAATAATCCTCCTGTAGAGGGAGACGCCCGACGTAAGCCAAGCCCTGTACACCTCTCCTCCTGCGTGCGCTTTGTGAGCCGCTCGGGGCGCACGGCGCACGCGAGAGCTGCACGCAGAGACAACGCGGCCGGAGCCCTGGGCCAGGAACTACGGAGGTCGAGCACATGCGGGTGAAAATCTAACAAATTATCCCAGTGCGACCCTACCTAGGGGTTGGAGGATCTAGGAAAGCAACATCTAACATCTATATGAAGCTAAGTAAGCTAAGATGAAGCTAAGGTAAGATGAAATAAACTAAGCTAAGATGAGATAAGCAACGCGAAGCTAAGGGAACGTAACTGGGGGAACCGCGGGGCGGATACTGGCGGAACCGTAAGGGGCGTGCCCCACTGCCCGGCCCTTTAAGCTACGAGGTAAGAACCCTTCTAGGCAGAGCCTAGGTAGGGAAACATGCAATGGTTCAGTTTAGTTTTAGGCGATAATTGCGCGCTTCGTTCGCGCACCCACTTATTCACCCTTCCGCGCACCCGTCCCTGCACCGTGCGAATCCCTGGGAGATACACGTTAAAGTTGACCATACAACAGTTTTCTGCTGCATTTCTCGAGCTGGATCTGGCTGTTCAGGTCCTTGGGCCCGAACCGGGCGAAAACGCCAGGCCTGACGACGGGTTCTCAGGAGGGTCGTCCACCTCCCTACATGGACGATTAGCCTGACGATGAAGCCCTGCAGGGCCGCGCTGACCAGCTGCGACCTCTGCCGTGCCAGGCTGCCCACCGACCAGCGCATATGACAAGATGTGAAGACCTCGCCAGTATGAGCGTCTACTTTGATTGCCGCACGGGCTATACATGCAAGCACGCTTTGGGAAAACAGGAAAGGATCAAGAGGTCTGGCTGGGATCGCAATGGAAAGGATCAATAGGTCTGGCTGGGCTCGCAAGCCGCTCAACCCTGGACCTCTCCGGGGGGGGCATTCTGGGCTTATGTTGCTCCCATCGTACTGAAGAACCACTTCCAGAACACATCATAATGAATCACTTAGGTTGGGACATCATAATCCTGGGCAACATGTTCTGATCCCCAACGGATTTCCGACGGCCCCGCGGGGCCCGCACGCGGGCCCGCGAGCGCCGATCGAAAGAACACGAGACATCGAAAAGGGCGCTGAGCCCGGGTGCAGGCCGACCCGCGAGGGCTGGAGCGCATGGACCGTAGCCCTCAGACGGTCGCGTACAGTCGGGGCGTTGACCTAAGGAACTCTAGATAAGGGACGAGGCCCCTTTTTCCCGTAAGTGAAACTTCGATTTCCCATCGAAACCCTGAGCAAAACCAAAGGCGAACTGCAAAACAACTAAGGAACACCGAGCCCCTCCCCAACGAAAAGGGTTCCTTCCTCAGCGCCCCGACTGTACTTCGTGAAATCCTCCTCCAAATCGCCCCCAATTTCCTGAACAGTGCAGCCACGACTGCTGACATCCCGCGTCGCCAGTAAGGAAGCTTCCCCCGACTCTGTCGAGCGCCGGCCTCCACCTCCTCCTCCTCCTCCTCCTCCTAAAAATCCCCCTCCCCCTCCTCCTCCTCCCCCTCCTCCTCCTCCTCCTCCTCCTCCTCCTCCTCCTCCTCCTCCTCCTCCTCCTCCTCCTCCTCCTCCTCCTCCTCCTCCTCCTCCTCCTCCTCCTCCTCCACCACGGCAACACCGAGAAAGAATCCTGTTCAGAACGGGCGGGAACTGCTGCGCGCGGGGACCTTCGCTGTCCTGCCGCTGTCCTGCAGCGTCCCGCGCGAGAGGGGCAATCTCCTGCCGCTTCTCCTGATGCCTTCCTGCGCGGCGGCCGAAGCACCAGCTCAACGGGTACCCGTCTCGGTGGCGCTGTTCGACCGACCCGCACCGACCCCCGGAGCCGATGGGCGCAGCGCGGCGGCGCGGGCAGACATCCGACGATGTGTGTTTGGCTTTTGCGCGGCACCAAACAGCTCGACCCCTTCCCCGGCGGGCAGGTCTTCGCCCCGGGTCCGGTTATCGATGGCCCCAAGCCCGATGACGGGCACCGGAGGCCGACACCGAGGGAAAACACCGGGGCTGACAAAACCCAGCCCGTCGGATTTGGACGACGGAAATGGGAATGGAAAACCTGGGTATGATGCCCAACATCAAACTTTGTCCCAAACCCAGCGGCCGCTTATTGGACAGCCGGCCTCCTGTCTCAGATGGACGACGCTCGCTGGGACATCGACAGCGAGCCCTGTTCAAAACGAACATGAGCTGCTGTCGGTCTTTGGGCCCACTCTTTCCGACCAGTCGGACCTGGAACAGAAGAACATCCTCCAAGATCGTTAGGGGGCCACAGGCGAACCCTACCCCTACCCCCCACGATTTCTGAAGGGGAAGGTGGGGTTCACTTCGCTCGGGAGCTCCCGGTATAAGTGAACCCCACCCTCCCCCTCAGAAATCGTGGGGGGTAGGGGTAGGGTTCGCCTGTGGCCCCCTAATCGTGAGACCCTCCGCTGGCCCAAACTGAAGACGCTCGAGTGCACTGTACCCCCGAATGTACAAGAACGGCCCACAAACACCACAGGCACTATAGGGGTACCCTCCCCGGACCGACCTTGATATTATACTTCGGTCCGACCGTATCGTTTTGTCGGCGTCCCGCTTGAGGCATCTCCCATTTGGACGCCCGAAATGGGTACCGAAAGAATGGGTACCATGCCCAACAGCAAATGTTGTCCCAAACCAACAGCGGCCGCTGTTGGGCAGGCGGCCTCCTGTCTCGAATGGACACAAGCCGCCGCGGCGTGGACAGCGAGCCCTGTTCAAAATGAACAAGATCCGCTGTTGGGCATTGCACCCATTCTTTCAGTACCCATTTCGTGCGTGCAGATCCCATCTCCACCCGAGGGAGGCATCGTGCACCACCTCGCCGGGGGTGGCCCCGCCAATGGTACTGGCGCCGCCCTCTCCCTCCTCCGCGATGGAGGGCCCGAGCCAGGCTCCGCGCGGAGGCAACGAGGAGGCAACTCGGAGGCCTCAGACGCAGCGCTCCACACTCCCCCCCCCCCTCCAAAAAAGAAAACAAAACAACATTAGGATTGTGGATGCCACGACAATGGAGACCCTAACAGTCCTATCATTGAAGGTAAGATGTGTTTCAAATGTCGGACACATGTTCTACGCATGATTTGACCGTGCATTTACATGTTTCAAACCTGTTTCACACATGTCTTAGACATCAGGAAACTATTTGGCAACACGCTTCCTCTCCAGTGATCGTCCTCCACAACATTGGGCGGTGGACAAACCTCCCTTTAGTAGACCTCCCCTTAGTGAAAACGGCCTGGGACCGAAACCGACGGACCTGGACCCGCAAAACTGACGGCCGCGACGCCCTCTCGCGAACCGAAAACGGCCAATTCCTTAATCGACGTGTCAGTGTTGGGGGTTCTGTCCAACCCCGAAACATTGGGCCCGATCGCACCGATCGGAGATCCGGGTGGCCGCCGAGGCGTGGCTCCCCAGAGAGGTCGCGGCGGCACACGGGGCACGCGAGGGCCGTCCTTGGCTCCGAGGGTGCGGGCCGCGTGGGCCCCGCCAGCCGACCGGCCGCGGGCCGGGCACGGCGCTGCCCCCCTCCAGGAGGAGGAGGAGGAGGAGGAGGAGGAGGAGGAGGAGGGGGAGGCGGAGGAGGGGGAGGGGGGGAAGCTGCGTAGACCCAAGACGCATCCACGATCCTGCGACGAAAGGCCCCCGTCAAAATTCCCGCATCGCAGGCCACGTCTTGGGCACCACGGGGCGCCCGCGCCGACGCGGCTGGCTTCCCCTCAAAGATACCTTCGGCAATCCATACAGGATCAATGTCTCGGACCGCGCGATGTTCGCGCGGAAGGTCAGCTTGCGGTTGCGGCCACCGTGGGCGGCGCCACTATATGCAAAAACTGGGAGGACAAATGGAAGGCGTGGGAAGAGTTACGAGGGCATCCACAGCTAAAATAATTCTCTGACAAGTGCGACGCCTTAGTCACCAAAGCCCAGCAAGGAATGCAAAGGCACCACGAGGGGAAGTCAAAAGGCTAATGGGGAACAAAACCGGCGCCAGGATTTGCCCGGCCAGACGCCGGAGCTTTCGAGATGGACCATCCCAACCTTAGCGCTAGAACCCGATGGTATTGGACGCGTCTTGGGCAAAACTACGGGCATGCTCGCCCCTACGGATTCGCGCGCATGTTCTACCGCAGGCACGGGCAAAGATACCAAGCCGCAGCATCAGCGTCATTCGCCATTTCTTGTTTTTTTTGTGATCATCCTCGTCCACGCACCTTCGGCTTCCTCTGCATCATTATCTTGCCGGCCAATTCTCGGGGCCCCAGCCCGTCAGGCTATTTCGGCGCAGGCATCTTCTGCTTCGATGTCCACAGTTTGGGGGGCGGGGGAGCTTCCAGACTCTCGGGGGAGATCCAGACAGACATGTTCACCCCTCAAGACGATGCGCCTTGGCACATGGAGTGTGGGAGGTTTACGTGGATATTCAATGATTAAACGGGGAAAAGTCGAATCATCAAGTGAAGCGTATACGATTGACATATCATTTGAGCAAAACACATTCATGCGGAGCCGAACATTTCACATAGCATGGTTTTCCGGATTGTTTTATCTAGGGAAGCCAACTTGGAATCCAGATCCGACGCGGGAATCGGGTCTGCCACATCACATTCGGCACGTTATGCTGTTGACGAGTATAAAGTTCTCGGGCCAAGAATGGCGACGCTCAGGATCAAAATCGCCGGAGGCACGTTGGCGTTCCATTCCGCGCGCGCCCCCCAACGGCGGGCGTCCAACCAGAAACGCGGCAGAGATTCCACGACAACGTCGCCCACGCATCGCTCCAACAACGAAGCGCAGCAACGCGGTCGCCCCCGGGGGCAGCACTGCGAAGTCGCTGCGTCGAGGAGCGGGCGAAGCAAACAGCATTGGAGGACATGTTGTTCGAGGAAACGCACCCAAACAACGCCCCCCGCAAAAGACCAATCGAGAATTATCAACGGGCTGACGCGTCGATTGCGACACGGCGCGCTCGCCCCAACCCGCGCGCCCCCCCCGCCGCGGCCGCCTAAGCCCAGCCCGCCTCTGGGCCAGCGCCTTGGCCCGAGCCTCGAGCACACTGGAGACATTCGGCCCCCGCTGAGAACACCTGACTTTCATGCGCGCATGGATGAGAAGAACGAGAACAACGACAAGGCTTGCATGGGAGTCTACATCGCTTCAAAAACTCAGATGACACCATCTGTCAGGCCCACTCAAATCTGCATGCGACTGCGACAAGATGTGGAAGACGGGCACACGCAGGCAAAGAAGCATGGCAGAGGGCATGGTGAGTGAAACTGCGTATGTCATCACTGGTACCCTCGAAAAAAGACATCTCGCGGGGCCCTGGCGGCACCTGCGCATTGAGCACCATGCTTTCCATAAAGATTTGCCACGCCTATACATCACGAAAGCAAGCAACCTCTGATCTGACCTACCTATGTAAATGATCAGCTGAGTTCCCGCTGCAAGCCTGGCCACAAGTCTTGCAAAGAAGTGCTGGAACCTCGGACTCAGAGCTCCATGCACGGCTAGAGGAAGGAAGGCGACCTGAACGGCATTGAACGCGGTGGGCTGGACGACACCCACCCCCGGAGTCTTCCGGCACCCTGGGGATCTCGTCGAACAACTGCGCAACGCTGTCGGTCGCTGACAGCGAGGACTTCAGGAACAGACAGGAAAATGAATTGGCACCGAAGAAAACATTAAGGTCGACTGTCTCGTTGTAAGACTGGATCAACGTCGCCAGCAACTCACTTTTCAATGCAGCGCGCCATCCTGGCGCCCTGCACACCTGCCGCGCACGCGACGCACGAAGCTTGATCCAAGCTGACGAGATAAAATAAGACCAGGCGCGGAACTGCGCGCCGCGGTCCGCTGGCAAGGAGCTGCAAGCACTCGCCCTCCAGGCGGAACGTGGCCATGGCATGCGCTGGCGCGAAAAAAATACTCGACGAGCTGCGCGGGCGGGGTCACAAAGGCTTCGTGCAAGAGGATGGTTGCACAGAAACCGAAAACGAGCCCACGAATCCCCTTTTCCACACCTCGCGGACTTACCCACAGGATTCCCCCAACACGCGCCATTCCCAGCACGACCGATAAATGCACCGAGATACCCCCCATTCGAACGTATACATAACCTTCCAAAATCAAGCCCCATCTCGCCAATAAGATCCCGAATGTCTGACTCTGGATAATCTCCCGTGGTCGCCAGCCCCCATGTAATCCACCCACCACGTACCTTACGGTTCAATGCTATTCAAGTTCCCCAGGCACGTCCGTCGAGTCCCCGTCGGGCCGGAAATCCGCTCGTCGATGCACTCCGGGGTCTCCCCCCGAGAAAAAAAACGCTAAACACTCGTTAAAATAGACGCCGTCCGCCCTGCCCGCGAGGAGCGCCTGTTAGACTTGATCGAAAGCTTCTTGGCCAGACACCCCCACCGAGAAGTAGCGTCTGGACGGGCTCCCACCATGAGCAGGAGCTCTGTCGCGGAACCTCGTCAGTCCCTGCTCGAACTGCTCAGCCGTCGCCTCCCAAACCACGCGGCCCGATGCCCTCTGGATGATTCGCTGAGAAGGAAAAGTATCTCTGACTCTATACCGGCTAGAAGGAATCCTGCCCCAATGTTCGACCACCTGCGCCGCTCCGCCGTCTGCAGCGTCGGGCGCAGCGCCGTCTGGACCTTCCGCCCCTGCCACCACTCCGCGCCCATTGAGCGCTTTCCACACGTGCAAGTGTCTACAACGCTGCTGGGCCCTTTTGTCATCGTAGTTCTGGAATAACTGCCGCGCTGACAACATCCTCGATCCCCCCCTTCCACAGACGCTTCCGAAATACTCCTCACCCCCGCAGTAACACCTCCGCGTGCCACCCATATTCCACCCGCACCACCCACAAAGTCGCGCAGCACAGGCACGGCTCCGACATCTAACTTGCCGATGCACAAACTGTCCCGGGCCATCGCGCGCATGACGGCAGCGTGCCACGACGCCAGATCTCGCGCATGGAATGGATCGTCGATCGACAAACCTTCCTTAACACGACGGGCCGCATCGTGGGCGACTTCTTGCAGCCCGCGGAGCCGAGAAAAAGCGCCCTGGAACACCGCGAAATCCGCCCACAGGTCCGGCGCAAACTCCGAGAACAATGGCTTCTTGACGGCCCGCGGTAGAATCGGGGCCAACGACCTCCGACCAGGACTCATCTGGGCGTAGAGTCGTAGAGCGGGGCGCCGTCGCGCGGCCAGGCGAAGTCGACGACGGGCCGCGTCGGACCTGCCGCCGGCTTCCAAACTAGCAAGTGTCCTGAGACTAGGGATGTGCAAAAGCGATCCAAATGACTTGCAGACAGCAGTAGCTCCTCCTGCTCAACTCGAAAGATCGGGCATAGCTGCGCCAACTCGCACAAGGAATGAAATATGCTGGCGAAGAAGCTTCCCGCCGCATCTGCTTCGCTCGACACAGGTCCAGCTCGAGGAAAAATGCCGGGGGCCCCCAAAATGGAAACAATTGCGCTCACCCAGAATCCAAGCATCGTACGTCGTGACAGATTTTACCAGTGAGGCTATCCGTCAAACCAACCCATATTTCTGAAGCAAACGCCCCCAGGCCCCCCCCCCCCCCGAAGATGCACGATATGGCGCCGCCCCTTGGCGACCACCTCACGCTCCAAACAACTCCGGCGCATCAGGACCCCCAAGCCTCCTGCAGCTCGGTCGGGGCGAAACGCGCTCCAACCTCGGATCGACTGAATATCGGCGAGCAGCTAGCTGAGAACTTGATCATCATGCTGCTCAGCCAGGTCACGACTTCCTGCGGGACATGAAGTACACGCATTCCCTGTGGCGGCAAGTCCTACAAGTTGAACATCCCCAGAAGCTTGTCAATATCGGCCTGCTGGAAGTTGAAGCTCCTCAAACCGTCCGCCGCCGCGCGTGTCATCCTCATCGGCGGGTCGAGCGCGCCTTGGAAGAGGATCCAGATGTCGCCGTTCGCGATACTCATTCCTGACACTGTTGGCGCCCATCTTGACCGACTGGCCCCAGACGCCCTTCTGCGCCATCATCTCCTTCATCGGGGCCCAGATCCTTCCCAGTTGCCGTTGTCGACTCCGAACATCGCCAAGGGGGCAGCGCGGACTCGCGCATCATGCGCCGCGTTGTTGCGCACATCTTTCCATGTCATCGGGTTCTCAGTCACATGGCCATGAAGATCTCGGACCTGCGCTGCCGCGTCGAAGCGAGCGCTGTAACTCTGGCTGGTGCGAGCGAACTGCGCAGTCAACCTCTCGCGCATGCGCTGGGCATCGCGCCCCCCGAGCCTCTCGAGGTGCGCCGCGCAAGCCATCGCCAGGAGAGGTCTCGGGAAGCCACTCACGCACCTCCTGCTATCACCAGGGGCATCCTCATGCGCCGGTGTCCCCGTCGGCGCTGTGCTCGCAGCCCGCGAGAACTTTGCTGGGCGCGGCGTGCTACCT